TGTATAATTGAGAGCAAAGGAAGGAAGATCTGATAGATAGCAAAGTCCGTAGAGAGCAAATTAAACTGTACATTTTACCCAATATATGTGAAAGCATTAATGCTGTGTATTGAATTCTACATAGAATTTAATCTTACAAGAGTTTAAAGGTTTGGCATAGCTGTGGAACAATAGTGTATTTGTGCCATGTATAGAAATAGCTTGCCATATTTTATTTACTGAAACGCCTTCAATCATGCTTACTATTCTTCCAACAAAGGGTGTTTCGGTTGCTCCTCTGATAAAAGTAGAAAACAATGATAAATAATTGTCCAGTAATGGCAAGGACGGTGGTTCTAATTCTTTTTCTAATTGACTGAGAACTTTATTTAACCTTTGGCTAACTGTTCTTTCACCTGGGCTATTGGGTTAAAATCATTCTTTATATTGATCAATTAACATTTACATTGAACTTGAGCAAAGGGCATAGAGGGCTGTAAAGAGGAACAAAAGACCCCCGTGAGGATAAGGCCCCGTCTGTCCTTGTCAGAAATACCCCTCGTACCCATCTTTCCGGTTCAATTCCTCTGACCATCACTGTGTCATGATCGAGTTCCTTCTTCACTCGTGTCCGGATTGTTAAAATGGCATTTCCAACAGGCTAGACTGGAAAACACAAGCTTTTCTTTCTTGGTATATTTTAATTTGTTCTTTGTCAGTGGCTTGATGTTGTTGCTGTTTTGTTGTACTTTGTTGCTTGGTTTTGCTCTGTCTTGTTTTTGTGCATGTTGTTGTCTCCGCAGGCCTGTCTGGATAGGACAGGCTGGATGAACAATCTGGAGGAGAAAACAGCGGGACTGACAGTTCGGGGGGAAGTGGGAGAGGGGGCGGTGGGGGGAAGGGAAGAGGTGTTAACAAACCCAGGGACAAGGGAACAACAAGCGATCCAAATTGGTGGGGAGGTGGGTGTGGGAGACCTGGTAGGTCTAGCTAAAGACATGTACATATGGGGCTTAATGAAATTGTTGTTGTTAGCTGCCATGTCAGTTTCATAGCAATCCTATGCGTAGTGAAATCGGATGACCTCTAATGAGATAGACACACAAATGCAGTAACTCCAACATGTGTGCACACATAGTGAGAATTCTGAGGATGCTTAGGACCGGCTAGTGTTCCCGTCTACCCTGTATATAGTGGCAAGGAGTGGGAACTGACGCAGTGGCACCTAACCAGAACAGCAGTGCCAGCAACAGCCTGTTTGTTCTACCACTGAAGTCCGGCTCAGTAACCAATGTTCGTATTGTTACGACCATCCATAGAGTTGGGAATCACCTCATTCATCACCTGAGGACTGCTTTTAGCTATATGGACTATGTGTTTACTTAAGCACTATGCATTTTTAGAAATCTGCAAGATTTTTAGCGTATCAACTTCAAAGCCAGAGTTATCTGAAGGGTGCCTAAGTTATCCAGTACCACTTTCATGCAAGTCTCACAAATGGGTGCCTTTAAAATGAGATATTTATTTTCTGACAGGTCTGTAGGCTAATAGTGCAATTCAAGGTCTTGGCCATGTTGATTCCTTCTGGACTGGCAAACCCCATGTCTCTTAGCCCCTTGGCTTATCCACATTATTCACATGGAGGTTTGTCTCGCCTGCTTGTGTCTCTGCATACCTTATATAACTCAGAAGTGATTGGGTTTGAGATCCACCCTGAATTGTTGTTGTTGTTGTGTTTAGGTGCTATCACGTCAGTTCCAAGTCACAGCAACCCTGTGCACAACAGAAGGCAACACCGCCAGGTTCTGCACCATCCTTACAATGTTTCTCATGTTCCAGCTCGTTGTTGCCATTAAGGCAATCATTCTTATTGAGCCCCTTCCTCTTTTTCACTGGCCCTCTACTTTACCAAGCACCATGTCCTCTCCCAGGGACTGGCCTCTCCTGACAGGATGCCCGAAGTCCATGAGATCAAGTGGCTCCAGCCTTGCCTCTAAGGAGCATCATGGCTACACTTCTTCCAAGGCAGGTGTGTTGGTTGTTTTGGCAGTCCATGGAACTTTCCATTTTCTCCACCAGCACCGTAAATAAACGCATCCATTCTTCTTCATTCTTCCTGATTCAAGGTCTAAGTTTCACACAAATACGAGGAAATTTAAAATATCATGACTTGCGCCATTCATACCTTAGTCCTCAAATTATCACCCTTGCTTTTCAACACATTACAGAGGCCTTGTGAAAAGGAGGCCTGGTGGCCTTGTGGGTTACACACTGTGCTTCTAACCCAATGATTAATAGTTTGAAACCACTAGCCACTCCAGGGAGGAAAGAGAAGGCTTTCTCTCCCATAAAGAAGTCTTGTGCAGCAGATTCACCCACTGCTATGCGTCATTCGATCATTGCTGCTTCCATAAGCCTTTGTTGTGGGTCTAAGCAAGTCAAAAGCCTTGACGATTTCGATCTTTCCTCTGGGTGTCTGGATGTTTCCTGTCGGTCCATTTGTGATGATTTTGGTTTGCCCTAATTAAATTAGCAATAGAAAACTATTTCCAATTATGGCCGCAGGCACAACTGCAGGGTATGGGATTTTAATATATATTTTGGGGAGACAAATGCAGTCCTTAGCCAAGGAAGGGGTGGAAAGTTGAAAACATAATTAATGTTCACTTGAGCAAAGATTTTCAGATGGAAAGAAAGGCCCAGGACAGACTTTAGTTGATATAGTAATGGGACATGCGGCACCCTCAAATACATTTGAGGACTCTCTTAATCAGATTAATTTGATCATGAGCCTATAGATTCTAAGGCTTGAAAATCCTAAGGTGTCCCCATGTTTTCATTTTAGTTTTTACTTGAAACCAAGGTAAGTTTGAATGTATTCAGTGTTAACAAAGTATCTTCTAGCATCAATATTTAATATCAGTTTCTCTGGGGAAAGAGCCTTTGAAGAACTTTGACATGTGGTAACAACTGCACAAGAATGGGCATGTTTATTTTATGTTTTTGGTCATTACTTAGATCACAGACATATTATCTATATAGACTCTAATGACTTTCTATTAAAAGTGCTTTGAGGTCAATCTCAAATTAACATTTTCAATTTGTCTCTCTTTTGACATAGGCTTATGGTGTTCATTTGCCACCAGAAATGCATAGCTCTTCAGCAGAATTTTGTCCACAAAGTGACATCCAAAATTCAAAGAATTTGTATGCAGTGCTTTATCAGTAACCCCCTTACTGTAATTTAAAAACTTTTAGAGTTCATTGGTGACAAGGCTGTGGCACAATAGACAAAAACTTAACTTAAAAGAATCACTTGATTAAGAATCTTATTTTAAATTCTATTTAAGAAAATGGTGATGAAATTTCTGTAATTCTGACTATTTGGTAGAATAACTAAGTTTCCTTTTTTCTTTAGGAATTATCAAGTTCTATATTTTATTACAATTTAATTACAGAAACATTTAGGTAAGACCTTTGTAATGCCTGGCACTGTGGGAAATGAGTATAAAGTTAAGACAGTATTTTATGGCTATCTAATATATATTTAATTAGATAATATATATTTATAGAATATATATTTAATTATATAACATCTATTTATATTATATATGTATATAAAACATCTTCCGTACCTGTATACTTATTTTCCACAGACCCTGGCATTACAAAGGTTATATATTACATAGGTGCATAAATGTATATGTGTGTTATATATGTTATATATTTGTTATATATAAAACACCACCTTAACTATATATGTATACATACATATAATACACATATATCTCTTTTTACTGCGAATTGAATAAAGGTTTACAGAAGATCCGTTTTTCATTCAACAATTCGGACCATTTTCTTCCCTGCCATTATTTGCAAAGCCAATGACGTGACATCACTCATCCCACTTCCTCCCTGCGCTTCCTATTTCCCCTCCTCCTTCCACCTTAACCCTTCTGAGCTTCATCTTTGGGCAACTTACGCCCTTTCGATTACAACTGGTTTATTTTTCTGAAGACGCCTTATTTCCCTCGTGGTATGCCGCCGCTTCATATGAGTGGTCCTGGAGAGCATTATGCTGAGTAACATTAGCCGATCGCAAAACACACAAACTGTGACACAAGATTACTGTTATAGGACACACAGCAAGCTAAAGATGTCATACTAAATGAAATAGCCTCCATGTGTGGGGGGAGGTGCGGTATGGGAGACAAGGGAGGTAAGAAAAAGCAATGGCCCAGACTATTGATGGGCACTCACTTGGGTGAAATGAAAGATAATCCACAAGAGAGAAGAGAAAGCAGGGTGCCCCGTGAGGCATCAACTACTGATGAGCGGCTTTAACTGTCAAATACCAAGCTGAAAATCTGAAATATAAACCCCACCTACTTTACAATAAAGAAAAGAAGAACACAATATATATCAGTAGTTCTCAACCTCCTACTGCCACGACCCTTTCATACAGTTCCTCATGTTGTGGTGACCCCCCAGCCATCAAATTATTTTCATTGCTACTGCATCACTGTCATTTTGCTACTGTGATGAATCCAGCGACCCCTGTGAAAGGGTCGTTCGACCCCCAAAGGGATCGTGACCCACAGGTTGAGAACCGCTGGTCTACATTGTTCAGATGATGGCCCTGTATGAGGGTTGCATTCATAATAGAGTATAATAGCAGATCAATGGAAATATCGCCAAGTGGACAGAGTACTGTGTCATTTAATTAGATGTTATGAGTTAGAAAGGCTTCCAGGAGTATTTCCCACAATTTAATATGACCGATTGGTAACCATGCAAGCCTGAAAATGCAACAGTTGGAAAAGCAGTGTCTATAGAGTCCACACCGTGCTCCTAGTTTGTAAGATGAGGAGCTATTTGCTCACACGTGGGCTCAGAGCCAAGCAGCCAGGCCTTCACAGGGAAGATTCCCGGAGACGCCCTGCAGGATGGCCACAGAGGTTCTGAAGCACATGCTGTCCCTTCTCCTTCTGAAGTCCCGGCGTCTGTCTTTCTCTGTGCAGGAGCCCTGTCCTGGTTTTCCAATGCAACCATCGCCACGTGATTTGCTTAGACTGTTTCCACTTGTACTGCGTGACCAAACTCAATGACCGGCAGTTTGTCCATGACCCTGAGCTCGGCTACTCCCTGCCGTGTGTGGGTAAGTCAATGATTGCTATTTTATTTCCGGGTGTGTTTGTGGTTTGTTTCGTTGTGTTTGTCATTTCTATTTGTAACTAAGAACAGATGGAGAAGAACAACTGCTATAAAACTATCTTAGTTATTCCTAATCTCCAGCAAAGGGGTTGAAACTTCAAATATCTATTTGAGAAATACTGGGATGGGGGGGGGGGCGGGCGGCAAACATTGATAATTAGACGTCAAAAGATAAAATGACGAAACAAGTACTTAAATGGAAATTGCATAAGTTGTATAAAGACATTGAAAATAAATTTTGAAATACTGTTAACCGAGGTTCATGAGGTATGTTTGTGGGTCAGGTTTATCCTATAGTTGGAGAGATTTCTTACCTGAGTTTTAGGGCAGTGCTTTCCAAATGTTAATATTTTACATTCTTATCACTAAAGAGAAAAGAACAAATTGAACTCATACCCAATATACATGAAAGAATATATATATTTAAGAATGAAGAAACTCAGAATTTTGAATATTTAAAATTTTGTTTTAAAGTTAACATTACAAATGCCCTTTACTTGAACTATACTGATAATATTGCTTCGATAGCTAGATACAGATCCATAAGATAGGACTCACATCCTCTGTGTTGAACCATTTGAAAGTGTTCCATTCAATGACACTTGATGCTTTCACAGTGCTCTGTAATCACCACCTCTCTCTCCATCCACTCTTCACTTACTAATAGGGTCCTATTCCAAAGACCTGGTTATTATGCAAAAATGGAAGATGACCATATCAGATCACAAAGTGGAGAATGAGTGTATCATTGCATAGCTGCCAAATCACATCATTGCATAACTGCCAAGCTACTGAGAATAATGTCTCAGCCAACTTGACACCTAACCTTAATGATCATTGCCAGTGTTAACGTGGCCTGGTACCTCATCATTCATTACTGCCAGATGTACAGCATTACTATGCAGAATAGTAGATTGTTTTACTATTGTTGTAAATGTGAAATGTCGGATAACTAGGTAATTGATGTGGAGCAGGCATAGTTTATTGAAAATTTAATCACTCCATAAGAAGATCTATAACCATGAATAATGTTCCCTACTGGGAACCACTAATTTGATTTTTGTCCCTTCGGGATATTTCATTAAGAAAAAGAATCATTCAGTATGTGGCTTTTTGTGCTAGGGCATTTACTTAGCATAATGCTTTTCAGATTCATCCAACTTGTAGCATGTGTCAGTACTTCATTCTTTTTCATGACTGAATAATATTTCATTGCATAACATACCACAGTTTGTTTATGAATACATCCATTGGTATGTATTTAGATGGTTTCCATATTTTGATTGCTGTGAATATTTGTATACAAGTTTCTGGGTGGACATATGTTTTCATTTCATTTGGATGTATGTCTATGAGTAGTATCAATGGGTTATATGACCATCATGTTTACTCACATCCAAGATGTTTACAACATCTTGCTTTCAATAATCATAGCAACAGCTTATGCATTGACTAGTATTGTGCAAGTATTCATATTTGTCTCCAACTGTATCAGCATTTCTTTTCTCAAGGTGGTTTTTAAAAATTGTTATTATAACTGTCTTAGTGGGTGTGAGATACTATCTCATGGCCGTTTTGATGTGCATAGATATCATGTATATTATGGCTTGTAATGTGTCTTCTTTCGGAGAAAGGCCTATTCAAGACTTTTGGCCATCTTCAATTGAGTTGCCAGTCTTTTAATTGTTGGAATGTGAAGGGATTTTACAAATTGTAGATACTCAACTTTCATTGCAGAGGTGGTTTACCAAGTGTTTTCTCCTATTTATGTGCTGTCTCTGCAAGTTTTTGAAAAACTATTTTGATGCCTAAAAGTTTTTCATTTTTCCCACTACTTTTTTTTAATTTTAATAAATCATTTTATTGGGGACTCTTACAACTCTTATAATAATTCACACATCAGTTGTATGAACACATTTGTACATATGTTGCCATCATACTTTTGAAAATGTTTTCTTTCTACTTGAACCCTTGTTATCAGCTTGTCATTTTTCCCTCCCTCCACTGCCCTCCCACCCTCATGAAACCTTGATAAATTATAAGTTATTATTATTTTCATATCTTACACCATCCGCTATCTCCCTTTACCCCATGGTTCTGTTGTTTGTCACCCTGGAGTGGGGGTGGGGTTTTACATGCATCATTGTGATCCATTCCCTCTTTTTCTCCCTACTTCCCCCTACCTTAGTGCTATTGCTACTCCCATTATTACTCCTGGTGGGGGTAATCTGTCCTTGATTCCATGTGTCCAGAGCTCTTACCTGTACTAGTGTACATGCTCTGGTCTAGGCAGATTTTGAAGGTAGAACTGGGGTCATGATAGTTGGGGGGAGGAAGCATTAAAGAACTAGAGGAATTTGGTATGTTTGGTCAGTGCTATACTGCACCCTGGTTGGCTCCTCACTTCCTGTGATTCTTCTGTGAGGGGATGAAGTTTTTCATTTTTATGAATCCAAATGTATTTATTGTTTTGTCTTATTCATGCTTTTGGTATCATATCTATAAATCTCTGGTCATTACATGATCTTAAAACTGTATACTTTCTCTTAGTAGTTTTATAGTTTAGCTCATATATTTAGGTCTTCGATCCATTTCTAGTTAATGTGAATATGTGGTTTGAGGTAGATATTAAGGGCAGACAAATTGTAATGACTGCAGTGTCGCTGAATACGTTCCTTGGTTTAGAAAATTGTGGTTTGGCATGTATGTGTTACCTTGATTCAATGATCTGCTCTTAAGTTCAATTTATTTCAATACTTAGTTTTAATGTGCATCACAGCTGAAAAATGTGCCTTAGCTGGAAGATATATCTAAATCTATGATGGTAATTGCACTTCTGACTTTCTAAATTATATTCATTTTGCAATAACGTCTAGCAATACTGTAAAGATTTCTTTAATACAGTTCATGTAATATGCGTATCAAAATGCTATTACAGAAAACTCATCCAAAGATCCTGGATTTTATGTTTTTGACAAACGAGATGAAAAAAAAAAGTTTCAATATTCAGTTTGGAAGATGTTTACACAGATTAATATTTATGTTTTTACTATAATGATATTGTATTGGTAGACCTCTTTGTTTTGCTTTCACAAAACAACAATATGATGGAATCATTTGTAAATATTTATTTTCAAAGTCATCTCTTTATACTAAGGTACATTTTTTAGTATTCAGTTGATTTCTCCCATTTTAGTAAAATTTGCAAACATACATGTGTCAAGAGAAACATTATAGTGAATCCATTTGTACAAATTTCCTAGTCTTTCTGGGATAATAGAATCTTTTTTTGTAATTCCTTGCCCAGTGATCCTGATTCAATCATTTCTTTAAACACCCTTGGTGTTAAGTCATCACCAATGGTACTTACAGAGCATAGCTCGGGTGATGGGCATGCTTCTGACATTTAGAGTGTCCCCACTTCTAGTCCTCTGTGAAAGCACTGGAAAGCATGTTTGTTGTTGTTAAATAAGAATGATTGTAATGACTTAATTGTAACACAGCAGTCGTGTTGTGGTTTTGTGTTGGGCTTCTATCAAAACCACTTTTAGGGAGAAGCATGGAATTTTCCACTCCCAAGAGTTACAATCTCAGTTCTACCCTGTCCTGTAGGGTTTCTGTGAGTTGGAATTAACGCAATGGCAGTGATTTTAAGTTTAGACCAGTTACAATGATAGGTCCAGTTTAAAAGTCTCAAATGCAAGACTGTGGAATTTCTTCTTCAAATTATTAATGTTACATATGTTGTTGTTTCTCCCTTGCCAAAATTCGTCTTTTTTCCCCTGGATTCTATCAGTAGATTTACACATGTCCCTTGTTTACAATACATCAACCATTGTGTTATTATCACAAGAACAAGGCAAATCAACAGTGGATGATCACTGGAGGCGCTGTCCGGATCTTCTGCCATTGAGTCTTGGGGTGTATCCTTCTAGGGATATAAAGTTGTGTGTAGTCAACCGACATCATGATTGGTAAAGGAGTGAACCAACAAAATGTCAGAAACCCTTCGTGAGATAGAGTGCTGCTCATGCCTCAAGAATGAACCCAAATATACCGACAGCCTTAGAGAAGGCACCACATCTGGTAATGTCCCATTTTGTGGTATTAAGGGGCCAGTCACCGTGGCAGGAGTCAACTCAGTGGCAGTTAGCAGCCTAGTCATTGTATCGTTATGTTCCTAAAGGCATGCAAAATGTAACTTTAACGTACTTTTAAAGTTTGCTTTATTTTTCTAATTATACAAAATGTTCACATGATTCCAGACACAAAGCTGTAAAATGTGTCACAGAGAAGTATTGATTTTACCCCCATTTTCTTCAATACTTTTCTCTTCCCAAGGACAAGCTTAAAATAAAAAGCTCTCAAAACAATAAAAAAGAAGACATATTGATTTGCATCACCCCCATGCGTAAGTAAATGTAGAATGTTGTCCACATTATTATTTTCTTACTCTACTTCCCATATATAATATTGGAAATCACTCTATAATAATGTATATAATTTTTTTCCATTAAATATAAAAGATGATATGCATAGCATCATGGAATCAATAGTGAGACTTTACTTTTCTTGTGTTGATGAACATAGTGTGTGTTTTTAGCTGTATTTCCTTTTAGAGTGTACAAGGTGCACAGTTAGGAAAAATTACTGGACATGACTAAACCCCTTGACAAGATGACTCCCTGGACTTGGTGGTCGGGGACCCATAGTCTTGGGGACAGGAAGGTCAATTTGCATAGCACAGTACACAAAAGTGTTGTTTTTCATCCTGTGTTGGTTTGCGAGCTTGTGACCATCTAAGATACAACGGTTGGTCTTTCCTCACTGAGAACAAAGAAGGGTTAAGAAAATTAAAGATGCCTGGAAACAATCAGTCCAATGGACTAAGGGGAGCTCTTGACCCTTAGCCTCCATGACGCTGGGACCAGAAGAACTAGGTGG